CTTGTGAAGAAATCAGCTTGGTAGATCTTTATGGAGTGTTTCGTCAAGCAAGAACAGAATACACATTTCAGCTGCACATTGGACATTCTCCAAAATAGACCATATACTAATACACAGAGCATTCTTAAGTAAATGCAAAGGAATTGAAATTATTCCATGCATGCTATCTGACCACAGTGCAATGAAACTGGAAATTATTGACAAAAGAAACTGCAAGATAGCTCAGCGGACTCAGCGTCTGCTTTGGCAAGCACAGGAATCAGGGTTCAATTCCTGGCACTGCATGCTGCACTGGCCCTGCCCCCGGGCACATTGAGCTGGTGACAGAGTCTGGGTGTGGTGGTACACGCCTGCAATCTGAGTACTGGGGAGGTTGAAAACAGGAGGATCATTATGAGTCTGAGCTGCAAGTAAGACCCTGTACAAAATACATTAAAAAAAAAAAAAAAAAAAAAAAACTACAAAGACACTATAAACACATGGAAATTAAGTAACCTCCTAAACAAAAAGATACAATGAAAAAAATTGCAGGTATAATTTACTGGAACCTATGGGATGCAGTGAAAGCTGTCTTAAAAGAAAAATTTATAGTGGTAAATTTGCACATTAGGAAAACAGAGCAAGCCCAAATGATCTTATGCCTCACCTCAAGCTCCAAGAAAAAGAAGAGCAAGTGAAGCCCAAAGAAGGCAGGAAATTATAAAGATTAGAGCAGAAATTAATGCAATGAAGATAAAACAATACAAAAAAATGAACAAAAGAGTAGGATCTTTGAGAGAATAAATAAAATCGATAAACCCCTGCCTAACATAATCAAAAAAAAAAAAAAAAGAGGGAAATAACCCCCCTCAAATTCATGCAATAAGGAATGAAAAGGGTGAAATCACTATAGACTCTTAAGTTCAGAAGATCATCAATACCTGCTTCCAAAATCTTTACTCTCACAGGATGGAAAACTGAGGAAATAGACAGTCTCCTAGATACGTATGAAATGCCAAAGCTGAGTCAAGAAGATCTACAAACTCTGAATAAACCAGTAACAGGAAATAAAATTGAAAATGTAATAAAAACTACCAACAAAGAAAAGCTCAGAAAAATAAAATAAAGAAAAGCTCAGGTCCCAATGTATTCACAGCAGAATTCTACAAGAAATTTAGAGATTCAATGCCAGCTTTTCTCAAACTCGTCATTAAAATTGAAAGGGAAGTATTTGTCTAAAGCTCATTCCTGGAGGCAAGTATTACTCTAATACTGAAGATAGAGAAAGATCCAACTAAGAAAGAGAGCTGTAGGCCAATCTCTAATGAATATACATGCCAAAATTCTCAATAAAATACTAGCAAACAGAATGCAGCAAATCATAAGAATACACATCATGACCAAGTGGGATTCATCTCAGGAATGCAGGGATGGTTCAGCATACACAAATTCATAAATGTAACACACCAGATCAATAGAACCAAGAACAAAAACCACATGGTTATCTTATAGATGCAGAAAAAGCTTTTGACAGCCCAACACTTATTCATGATTATAAAAATAAAACCTACAGAGAACTGGAATATTTGGTCTAGATCTCAACCTGATAAAAGCCAAATATGAGAAAAAAAAAAGTCAACCTCACACTTAAGTGGGCAAAAACTGAAGGCCTTCACTTTAGAATCGGGGACATGATAAATATATTCACTGTCTCCAGCCCTATTCAATATAGTTCTGGAAACATCCAGAGTAATGAGAGAAGTAAAAGGAATAAGGAGTGGAAAGAAGAAGTGAAATTATCATTATTTGCAGATGACGTGATACTCCACATAGAGTAACCCAAAAACTCCACTAAGAGTCTTGTAGATTTAATCACCAAATTCAGTAACATAGCAGTATATAAAGTCAATACCCCAAAATCATTAGTGTTTTTGCTCCCCCGCTCCGCCCTTCCGGCTCGTTCTCCGACTGTAGTCGCCAGCACAGCGGCCGCTGCCGGGCTCCGTGTACGTGTGTCCGGTCACTGGGACTCAGTGTTGGTGCCGGTGACTTACCCGCATGGCTGAGCTAGATGGGTTCGGCGCCCAGGCCGGCCCCGCGCTGGGGAACCGGGTGGCTGGCGAGGAAGACCCGGCCGCGGCCTTCCTGGCGCAGCAGGAAAGCAAGATTGCGGGCATCGAGAACAACGAGGCCTTCGCCGTCCTGGACGGCGGTGCCCCTGGGCCCCAGCCCCACGGTGAGCCGGGGGTGGGGGATGGGGAGGAGGGGGTGTTCCAGATGCTGTTGATGGAGTGATGAATGGAGAATACTATCAGGAGAGTAATGGTCCAACAGACAGTTATGCAGCTATTTCATAAGTGGATCAATTGCAGTCAGAACCTGAAAGTATCTGTAAATGGAGAGAAGAGCAAACCAAGCGTTTAGAAGCCCTTGATGCCAATTCTCGGAAGCAAGAAGCAGAGTGGAAAGAAAAAGCAATAAAAGCACTAGAAGAGTGGTATGCACAGCAGGACGAGCAGTTACAAAAGTCAAAAGCAAACAACAGGGCAGCAGAAGAAGCCTTTGTAAATGACATTGATGAGTCATCCCCAGGCACAGAGTGGGAATGGGTGGCCCGGCTGTGTGACTTTAACCCTAAGTCCAGCAAGCAGACCAAAGATGTCTCCCGCATGCGTTCAGTCCTCATCTCCCTCAAGCAGGCCCCCCTGGTGCACTGAAGAGCCATCCTTGGAGACACTACATCTTCAGTATCTTAATCCTACTCAGTAAAGCTGTTCACAGTAATTGGATTAATTATGTTGAGTTTTTTGGACCAAACTTTGTCTTTAGAGTTGATCATTGTTTGTGATTGCATGTTTCCTTCAACTGTGTTCTCCCTGGCATTCAGAGAGGTGGGGGTGGGGGGGAAAGGCGGAAGCTCCCAACAGTAGCCTCAACCTGTGCTTTTGTGCATTATTCTGAGAATAAATTTGTTTGAAACTATAAAAAAAAATCATTAGCGTTTTTGTACACAATGAATGCACTGAGAGAGAAATTAGGGAAACCACACCTGTCACAATAACATTAAAAAAAAAAAAGAAAAGAAAAATACTTAGGAATCAACCTCACAAAGGAAGTAAAAGATTTATACAATGAAAATTATAGTACTCTGGGAAAAGAGAACAAAGAGGATTTGAGAAAATGGAAAGATATTCCATGTTCCTGGATAGAAAGAACCAAGATTGTGAAAATGACCATACTTCCAAAATTGTTACACAGATTCAATGCAATCCCGATTAAAATACCGTTAGTACATCTCACAGAGCTAGAGAAAATTTCCCTCAAATTCATTTGGAACTAGAAGAGACCCAGATTATCAAAAGCAGTACAGGGAAACAAAGGAAAGGCAGGAGGTATCACAATCCCTGACTTGAAATGAGAAAGCTACTGTGATAAAATCAGCATGGTTCTGGCATAGAGACAGACCTATGGATCAAGGGAACAGATTAGAAGGTGCAGACACAACTGCAGACACACTCAGCCACCTTGGATCTCATCTGTTCAAAAAGTTTCTACACTTTGAAGAAAATCAACAAAGTAAAAAGCCAACAAATTGGGAAAAAAATTATAGCTGACTGTCCCTCAGACAAAGGCCTTCTATCTAGAACATATAAAGAATTTTTAAAAATCAGACTCCCCAATTCAAAGACTCAATCCAAGAATCAGCATCTGAGATGCGTATATAATTTTTAGATGAAGAAATACAAATGACAACTAAATATATGAAAAAATGTTCAATATCATTGCTCATTCAACAAATGCAAATTAAAACAACACTGAGATTCCATCTCACACCAGAAAGAATGGCTAACATCAAGAAGTTAGCCAGTAACAAATCCTGGAGGGGCTGTGGGGAAAATAGGAACCCTTCTCCACTGTTGGTGGGAGTGCAGACTGGTACAACCACTATGGAAATCAGTGTGTTGATTCCTTTAAAAGTAGGATTCAAGATCTCATTCAAGCCAGCTACTCCCTCCCTGGGTATTTTTCCAGAAAGAACTGTAAACATCATACCACAGCAATTTATGTCTACCCATGTTTATAGTAGCTCAATTTGTTATGTCTAAATCCTGAAAACAACCCAGATGTCCATCAACTGAGGAATGGATAAAGAAGATGTGGTATTTTTATACAATGGAGTATTACTTATCTATAAAACAGGATAAATTTGAGTCTTTTGTCAGCAAATGGATGCAACTACAGTCAAAATGGGTCAAAATTTAAATATTAAATACTAAATCTTTTTAGTGTTTAGGGACACTAAACACTTATTTCACTTTAGAGACCATACTCTTAAGTGAAATAAATCAGACTCGCATGTGCAAATATCGTATTTTCTCCTTAGTGTGATAAACTGAAAGAGAAAATGGAGTTGAGAAGGACAGGAGAGTGAGTGGGGGAAAGAGATATATCTGTACATAAGCAGGGTGGTTTGGGCAACTGTACTGTGGATTTCTGGTACAATGTTAATTTCCAATGTGAGAGCATTCACTATGGCAGCTTACAAAATTCACAGTTCTGCAAGTCTTTTTCTTCTCAATATAAAAATAGAAGAGAACTAAAGGTATAGCTCAGTGGTCTGATATGTAATTAAATTAATTATATGGAAAGGAGCATATAATGCTTAATTTGTCTCCTTTTTTCCATTGTTTCTCCTTTTTCTCTTAATTGCTTTTTTCCCAGTTTTGCTTGCATATTTCTGGTAGTATGAATTGGTTGGAAGACAATGCTATGCATTACAACAAATACTGTGAAATTCATATTATTTGTTACGTGAAATTCTGGATCACTTGTAATTTTTCTGCTTTAACACTATTTTATACTCTCAAAAGAAAGAAAGAAAAGAAAAAAGGAATAAAAGGAAGAAAGAAAGAGAAAGACAGACAGACAGACAGACAGACAGACAGACAGACAGACAGACTTTAGTAATTTGTGTGTATATGGGGTAGGGTGGTACTATGGATAGAACCCAGGGCCTTTCTCTTAGTAGGTAGGTATCAGACCACTGAGCTATACCTTTAGTTCTCTCTTATTTTTATATTGAGAAGAAAAAGGTTGCTGTAGAACTGTGGATTTTTTAAGCTGCTATAATGAATGCTCTCACATTGGTAACTAGCATTGTAGTGTACATTAGCTCAAATTACAATGATAAATAATTTTCATGAAATCTTTTATTCTAATATTTCAAGAGTTCTTTATATAAATACTAATTATGCATTTTGAAACCACTTATGGAAGCTATATATGATTAAATTAATTATATATTTCAGATGATAAAACAAAAGCTGAGAGAGGCAAATTTATCTAAGATTGCATAGTATTTAACTGATGAAAGCTGAGTAGTTGTAGAGTATAAGTAATTAACTGTATCTCTGATATAAAATAAAATTAAATTACCTGCTGCTATTGTCTCAGCAACTTAAAGACAAACCTTCAATAAAATAGATATTTCAATTTAGTAATGGTTAAGTATAAACATGTTTATATTTAAGAAAACAATAATTTCCTAATATATTTTATTTTTAATGTGGTCATTAAGTTTTTCACGTGAGTCTTCTGATAAGCAAAAATCAAAGAATCCAAAATTGGCATAGATGATGAATCAAATACTTTCTTAAAGAGAAAATGTGATAAAATACTTGTTTGTAAACTTGACTGCTTAAGTAAAAATAATGTTCCTAGTGGAAAACTTAAACATAACCAGGTAGCTCCTTTTACATAAAAGCCTTTTACATTATTTTGTATTTCAGTTAACTTTTTTTTTTTTTTTGCTACTCTGGTTGTCACTGATTAGATACTATATGACTTGTGAATTGTTTAAATGTCATGGGACAAGTACAATATATACATAGGAATAATTTAATGCCATATTAATAAATAATCCATGTTTCCTTGAAAATAAAGCCTACCCAGAAAATAATCAGGCATGAAAAGTAGAGATCAAAATGCTATCCCAAATCACCTTGATGTACTATCATTTCAGAGCAGCCACTGAGCAAGAGAATAATATGGTACAGTCTTCTGCATGACACTTTCCATCACGTTGGTAATGACTAGTGCTTATTTTTCCAATTAGGTCTTATTTTTGGGAAAACACAGAATTAGCCAGTTTCAGTATTATCCATACTTAGTATTACCATTGTAGCACTGTAGTAGGGCAGATATACCCCATTCTATTAAAAAGTGACAGTTCTTCATCCATGAAAACAAAATATTTACGAAAATATTAAAAGGTTGGATAACTGAAGTGATGGCAAATTTATTAATTCAAATCTCCTTGTACATAGATTCTCTAGAACACTTTAAAGAACAAAACAAAATTATACATAGGCTTCCCTAAAATAAAATATAATATACCAACTTGAAATTATCTGTAAATAAAAAAAATACTTCAGAAATCTTAGCTAATCATCATTTAATCCCCAGCACAAGTCTGGTGAAGAGCAAGAGTGGTGTAGGAAAGCTGCAGATGCAGCTCAGTGGTAGTGTACTTGCCTGTCATTCTCCAGGTAAAGGGTTCAAGCCCCAACACTGAAAATGAAAAGGTGATGATAATAGGACATGGGAGCTAGTAACTGGTTTAATATTGACTTAAATTGTTTAGAAAAGTTCCTTTCAAAATACTGATAGATCAGAACAGACTTAGAGAAAGGACTTACAAGTTTGTGTGGAACTCAAGGTAATATTGGAAAGGCAAGTGTTTGGAGGAGAAAATGGTAAGGAAGGGATAAATAACCTTTAGAAACTAAATTTTGGTGGAGAAGAATATGTAAGAGGCAGAACTCAGAATTTAAAATGCCAAGAGTGAACCCTCATGTCAACGATGGACATGGGATAGCAAAGCTATCCGTGTAGGTTCATAATAAAAACAATGTGCCACTGTGTTTTAGGATGGTTTAATTCAAGTAATGGGAACTCTGTACTTTCTACTCAGTTCTGCTTTGAAAATAAAAACGTTCTAAAGAATAGACTAATAAGAAAGCAAAGGAATAGAGTGTTGTGTGGCATGCCTGTAATCCCAGCATTTGGGAGGCTTATGCAGGATGGATGCCATGAGTTCAATACTAGCCTGAACTCTATAATAAGACCTTGTCTCCAAAAATAAAATATAGGAAGCAAAAGGAGGAAATTCATGATAGTGGCAAGAATATTTAAAAATCAGCATCCTCATACTGTCTGGCTCCCAGTCCAACTAATACTTATGCTTTACTAGAAACTGAGAACATTTTATTTGTTTATTTGGTTGGTTGGTTGGTTTTTAAAGCAGAAATTTTCCAAGGTGAATTTTATTGATGACTATATCATTTCCATCAATCAGATGAAGTTATCAAATGAACATAACCTCAAGATTTTGTTGTCTTTATAATAAAACAAAAGATAAGGGTTAGAACTGGACACATGCCTTTTCTTTCTCCTTTCTATTCAAAATGCTTCATTTCAGGGCTGGGGATATAGGTCAGTGGCCTATGTGCCTTCCTGACAAGAATAAGGTCTCAAGTTTGATCCCCAGAAAAACAAACAAACAAAAACATCATCTCTATAAAGCATTCTCTTAAGTCTGCAGTTGTGCTCAACACACTCTAGCCTCAGTCATTGTAGTTTTAGTCTTTTCCCAGAAAATCAGTATATTCTGCTTACCATCGCCACACCGTTGCCTGCCATGGTGCTGATTTACTTGGACATACTTTGCCATATTCTACCACATTTGTAGGATTGCTGCTTGACACACTTCCTACAGAA